ATAAACATAGGTTAGGTTAGGTTAGGTAGGGTTGGTTAGGTTCGGCCATATATCTACATTAATTTTAACTGTAATAAAAAAAAATTGACCTCATAGGTAGGTTAGGTAGCCGAAAAAGTTAGGTTAGGTTAGGTTAGGTAGTCGAAAAACAATTATTTCATGAAAACTTGGCTTATTAGGCAAATTGGGCCTTGCATAGTAGGCTGAGAAGTGCGTTCTGGCTACTAGGTACGACATATATATATATATATTTATTTATTTATTTATACTAGGTATGTTGTACCTAGTAGCCAGAATGCCGTTCTTGACCTACTATGCAAGGCCCGATTTGCGTAATAAGCCAAGTTTTCCAGAAGTTCAATATTTTTCTCATTTTTTCTTATGAAATGATAAAGCTATTCATTTCATTATGTATGAGCTAATTTTTTTTAAATTTTAGTTAAAACTAACGTATATATATATGGCAGAACCTAACGAAACCTACCTAACCTATCTTAACCTAACCTAAACTAACATAACTAAATCAATAATTTATGTTCTGAATATAATATGATAATAATATTTAAAATAAACAAATAGGAAACAAACGAACAAATCCACAAGGGCCGTGACGATGATTCAAACCTGCCTCTGGGAGCATCCCAGACACTGCCCTAATCGACTGAGCTACGACAGGGTAAAAGAGTTGAAACCGATGTTCTACTGAACTTACTGGATCCCGTAGCCTCTCTGAGGTACAAACCAGGATTTTACACAGCTCCCCCCTGCACCCGAGCTATGTCAATAGTTCGGGTGTCCAGGGGGGAGTTGTGTAAAATCCTGGTTTGTGCCTCGGAGAGGCTACGGGATCCAGTAAGTTCAGTAGAACTTCGGTTTCAACTCTTTTTCCCTGTCGTAGCTCAGTCGATTAAGACAGTGTGAGATTTTTTTCTACGCCTTCCTCCCTTACGAGGTGGACCTCAAGCATAAAGAACTGCACACTGTAGATGCTTCTACTGCAGGCAGGGGGCCCATTAGAAAAAGGAAAAGTGGGAGCAAACCACCAGGCCTCCACCATTAGGGTGAAAACCTCTCCACATAGGCCGCTGGTTCCTCCTAGTTAAACAGGACGTTAAAACCAATAAAAGGTAACCGACGGGTTCTCACAATCAAATATTTGTATTTGATGTGGTGCTATGAATTGGAATTCGAATTCCCATGAACAGCCGTCATTAAAAGAATGTGGCATTGCACAATCGTATAAAGCAGAACATAGGTGGAAAAGAATGGTTGAAGGGTTGACATCAAAGACCGTTTTCTATAAAATAAATAATTTATTAAACAACAAGAGACTAAACTACTACAACATCGAGTTTACGTTACGTTAATGTCCATCCAGTGGCACTATAACAAACAGCTAAAATGGCAATGACTCCGGTCCATTGCTGAGCGGCTGCATACCCTGTTTTCCGAATAAGGAGAACATCCGCTGCGAGCCAGTCCTCAGGGACTGACCACGACTCTCATATACGGTTATACAGATTCAGTAAATACCAAAACGCGCATTGATGGCGAAGCATCTCATAATGAATATCATCTGAGCCCGTTACCATAGAACCGCAGTGAACCAGGGCGGACTGAAGTTTGGAAAGAGAGAAGGGATGGTTATAAGGAGGTCGGAGATGAGTGAGGAAATCTAAGGGATGCCCTTACTCGGTGCTCTCTCTCCATCACCCGGTGTTCTCCCTCCCTTACTCGGTGCTCTCTCTCCATCACCCGGTGCTCTCCCTCCCTTACTCGGTGCTCTCTCTCCATCACCCGGTGCTCTCCTTCCCTTACTCGGTGCTCTCTCTCCATCACCCGGTGCTCTCCCTCCCTTACTCGGTGCTCTCTCTCCATCACCCGGTGCTCTCCTTCCCTTACTCGGTGCTCTCTCTCCATCACCCGGTGCTCTCCCTCCCTTACTCGGTGCTCTCCCTCCATTACTCGGTGCTCTCCCTCCCTTACTCGGTGCTCTCCCTCCATTACTCGGTGCTCTCCCTCCATTACTCGGTGCTCTCCCTCCCTTACTCGGTGCTCTCCCTCCCTTACTCGGTGCTCTCCCTCCATTACTCGCTGCTCTCCCTCATTACTCGGTGCTCTCCCTCCCTTACTCATTGCTCTCCCTCCCTTACCCGGTGCTCTCCATCCATTACCCGGTGCTCTCTCTCCCTTACTCGGTGCTCTCCCTCCATTACCCGGTGCTCTCCCTCCCTTACTCAGTGCTCTCCCTCCTTACTCGGTGCTCTCCCTCCCTTACTTGGTGCTCTCCCTTTATTACCCGGTGCTCTCCATCCATTACCCGGTGCTCTCTCTCCCTTACTCGGTGCTCTCCCTCCATTACCCGGTGCTCTCCCTCCCTTACTCGGTGCTCTCCCTCCCTTACTTGGTGCTCTCCCTTTATTACCCGGTGCTCTCCATCCATTACCCGGTGCTCTCCCTCCCTTACTCAGTGCTCTCCCTCCCTTACCCGGTGCTCTCTCTCCCTTACTCGGTGCTCTCCCTCACTTACTCGGTGCTCTCCCTCCATCACCCGTGCTCTCTCTCCTTAGGTGGTACTCCCTCACCTCAGGGTTTCCCTGACGCAGGCTTTGGTGTAGGTGAGTCTGGCCATGTGGTGCGAGGTGAGGGGCTGGCAGCCGTCCCCAAGCACCTGGTCCAACTCCTGCTGTAGACACGTCTGCTTCTCCGGGCTTCGGGCCAGGTTGTACATGGTAAACGCCGCAGTCGACGATGTCTACAGAAAAAAAGTTAGAAGCGAAATTGTAATTAAATTGTTTTCATAAATGTAATAATGGATGTCATTCCAAAATAAAATCATATTACCGTAATGAATCAATGACAAAATCAGTGGGAGCCATCCCAGCAAACATAAAACGTGTTGAAACCTCCACTAACGTTTCCATTGGGTATGAGAAAGAAAAGTTTCAAGTATAGGTCAACAGGCACATGAGCAACTTTTAACCCAAGATTGTCATAGTTGTACTCATAGTTGTACTCCCATAGTTGTAGGTCAGCACAACTTGATGAGCACAAGTAGGTGAGTACATCTAGGTAAGTACAACTTGTTGACTCTCACCAAGAAAAATAAAAGGAGACATGGTAACCGCCTACAAAATTCTCTGGGGATTTGACAGGGTAGATAAAGACAAACACTTTAGCACAGGTGAAACACGAACAAGGGGACACAGGTGGAAACTTATTACCCAAATGAGCCATAAAGACATTAGAATTTTTTTCAGTGTCAGGTAGTTAACAAATGGAATGCATCAAGCCACAGTGTGATGGATGCAGACTCCATACACAGTTTCAAATGAAGATTTGATAGAGCTTAATAGGCTCAGGAATCTCTATACCAGCTGATTGACGTTTGAGCCACACCTACACCACGTCAACACCCACACCACATCCACACCACTGCCACACCCACACCCAAACCCACACCAAACCTACACCATACTGCCACACCCATATGTTACCACCAAACCCACACCTGACCGCCACACCCACACCATACCGCCACACTCACACCACACCGATACCATACTGCCACACTCACACCATACCGTCACACCACGCCATACTGCCACACCCATGCCATATTGCCACACTATACTGCTACAATATACTGCCACACCTTTGCCATACTACCACACCGCCACACCTTCGCCATACTGCCACACCTTCGCCATACCACCACACCTTCGCCATACCGCCATACCTTCGCCATACTGCCACACCTTCACCATATCATTACACCTTCGCCATACCACCACACCTTCGTCATACCGCCACACCTTCGCCATACCGCCACACCTTCGCCATACCGCCACACCTTCGCCATACTGCCACACCTTCGCCATACCGCCACACCTTCACCATACCGCCACACCTTCGATTACCGCCACACCTTCACCATACCGCCACACCTTCGCCATACCGCCACACCTTCACCATACCACCACACCTTCGCCATACTGCCACACCTTCGCCATACCACCACACCTTCGCCATACTGCCACACCTTCGCCATACTGCCACACCTTCACCTTACTGCCACACCTTTGCCATACCGCCACACCTTCGCCATACCGCCACACCTTTGCCTTACCGCCACACCTTCACCATACCGCCACACCTTCACCATACCGCCACACCTTCACCATACCACCATACCTTCGCCATACTGCCACACCTTCGCCATACCGCCACACCTTCACCATACCGCCACACCTTCGCCACACCGCCACACCTTTGCCATACCTTCGCCTTTCCGCCACACCGTACTGTCTGTTGGAAATTTCCGACACCCCAAATACTAACCCCTAGTACGATAAGATAAATTTATTGTGCTAGGAAATCAAATTTACTAACCCTACTAACAAGTAGAGTAGTGCAACCAAATTACCACTAATATCAATGCCGTTGTTACATCAGCTTCCCAGTTTCTTTAACTTTATATAAATCGAATTAAACCCAGTCTAACCTTCGTTAAATTTACAAGGTAAAATTGATTGGAAATTGATTTAATTCATTAGAGCAAATTATATCCCTGTTTCTAGATAAAGTTTTCCACTGCTGCATCCCACTGATTACAGCTGGGTTAAAGTCACGAACGGAATATTATCTATATATTCGTTGTTAATCTAACGACACTTCGGTTCAATAATACATACAGCGAAAAATCGTCTGTTAATACCTGGAGTGCGTTTTTATGACTTTACATAACGACGGCAATGCTTTAATCAGATAGTAAACCAGAATAAAATATCGTGACTTATATGCGTGTTCATGCACAGTGAGGGAACCAGGTGGTGCGTGCGTCACTGGCCACTTGCCTAGAGACTTGGCTGAGGAGAAAACATCTTTGATCGGTGTCCCGGAGCTCGCCATTATCATCGCCTATTATACGGATCATCCGAGCATTATCGGATCCCAGACTTTGCTGCCAGCTTCATCTGTTATTGAGGACACAACGTCCGGTTGGATGAGTAACCCTTTTTCATGTTTTATGACCATAATCCCGTGTTATAGGTTGTCCAATCGTTAAGACGCTAGATCATCAAAAAACACCAGTAAATGTGTTTCCCCTAATCAGTCAACCCCGTTTCAATGGATGTTAATGGATACACTCGTAGTCATTAAGAAATTACATAATGTTAATTTCACAGAGTGGAGTTTATCTACGAGGGAGGATCGCCTTTTCCAGTGAATCACATGCTTACCAAGTCAACACGCCCAGACAAGATCAAACTGGTTACGGAAGGCTGTTTGACGCATTCCTCATTAAGTGGCCATTAGATTAGTTTATTAAAAGTTGTTCAAAGTCAAAGAATATTTTTTGACTAGTTGTATATGGAAAGGGCTACAAGTGTTCCAAGTTTCAGTACTGCAGCCTAAATAGAAAGGAGATTAAATTTGTTTGTTTTTTCAACGAATATTACACATTTTCAAGTGTGTATATGCAACCACACGTTTTATATATAACCATTCTAGGGCACTTTTCTGACATATTAGAATATAATAAAGGATCTGAAGATAGGGATTTTCCAAAACATGTTTAGTTTTCCTAATACAAATAGTCAAAGTCCCCCCCAAAAAATATGCAAATGTTACATGTTTATTGCTATTATAAAATCAATAAACGAACTTAGAAAAAAATGCTTATACAGGTTTGTAGAGACATAAACTTTTCATATAAGGTGAAAGTTTCATGTAAATTGAATAAAAAATGAAAGAGTTATATGAACGTTTATGTTACAGGAAATAAAGAAGTCTAAGGTGCTGCCATCTGTTGCTGAGGTTGACATCAACCAATTTCCTCCAAAATTGTCACCCTTTCAGATAGGCTTACGTGCAGTCAGGTGTATAAGTTTCATGCAAATCGTCCGATAAACAAATAAGAAAAATAAAATTGAAAAAAAATCAACATTTTTTTAACTTATTTTTTTTAAATAAAACTGGTTATATATATTATATATATATATATATATATATATATATATATATATATATATATATATATATATATATATATATATATATATATATATATATATATATATATATATATATATATATATATATATATATATATATATATTTTAATATATGCTATTATGATAGCTGAGATTCATAGACATGATTTCAGTTGACACTTGTGTTTGATAATCGTTTTTAACTATTTTGGAAAATTTTTGAAACCTATTTCAATATTTTTTTCTCCCATCCTATTTATGCTACGACGCTGAGACTTGGACCAGATGAAATGAAGACTTCTAACTCTATAACTTGATTAATTAATTAAATTTATTATTGAAATTATTTCGACATTTATATGTAATAGGTAGTTCCTGCATTATTAGTTTTACCCCCAAAAAAGTGTGTAGGAGAAATAATCCCAGTAACGTTAAGAAGTTTTTACAGTCCACTTCTCTAAATTTTTTTTAAATCAATTATTTACTTTATTATTGTATATCCAATAATATGCTGGAGAGTTTCCCCCACACCGTCACACCCACAACATACCGCCACACCCACGCCGTACCGCCACACCCACGCCATACAACCACACTGTTCTGCCACACCCATGCCATACTGCCACACCCACGCCGTACCGCCACACCCACGCCATACAACCACACTGTTCTGCCACACCCATGCCATACTGCCACACCCACGCCATACAACCACACTGTTCCGCCACACCCACGCCGTACCGCCACACCCACGACATACAACCACACTGTTCCGCCACACCCACGCCATACAACTACACTGTTCTGCCACACCCACGCCATAGTGCCACACAATTCCGCCACATCAACGCCATACTGCCACACCCACATCACCGCCACACTATACTGCCAAACCCACGCCATACTGCCGCACCATATCACTACATCCCCTCCATATAGCCACACTATTCCGCCACACACTCACTCCATACAGCCACATTATTCCGCCATACCCACACCATACCGTCCCACCCACACTGTTGGAAAGTTTCCAACACTAATACATCATTTCTTGTATTACAATACATCATTATTGTATTAACCACAGTAACTATTAACTCTACTAACTGTAGTGCTAATATAAATTTATATTTCTCTATCTGCACGTCATTTGCTGAAATTCTCACGACACCGGGAAGCCTATTGCGTCAGATAATGTCCAGCAGGACATAATTATTACTAATCTGTTAGAGAATTGAATAAAGTTCTCTACTTTTATCAGTACTCTGTATAATAATTAATAACTGATAATATAACCATTAATGATCCAATAACCGAGAGTTATTAATTACAAATATCACTAAATAACAGTTTTATCTGTTATCTACGAACACCATGGAAATTCTCCCCATTTCACGTTAATAAGGACACTGTGCATATTCAACACCATCTAGCAAGAATATAAACAATATTTAATTCCCTACAATTGCAACCTTATTCTCTTAAACGTATTACGTAAGTAATTACACGGAAAAGAATTCTCCGTCTTTACTAAATTGAATTGCGAACGCGTGTGAGAGGATTGAGGGAGAAGGAGGCATGGAGACGCCATTGCTATCGACGCTATCAACACGAGAGGTAGCGACGCCATTGCTAGAGACATCACCAGAATTGCGGCACGAGCGTCCGGGGAGAGCCAAATTTACAACCACAACGCCAGGCCCTTACTATTAAGCGGCCTAATAGTGATCTGCGGATAACCAACAGGTTAAGTGTTCTTATAATTTAATTGAGCTCCTTTAAATTTCTTACACTGTATCCATCGTTACGTCGCTAGACCTCGCTAAACAACAAGTACGTCTGTAAGGATTTTGCTCTGTCCCTCCTAATGAATAGTGATGACACAATTTACCTGGTATAGACAATTTGTACTTTTAGTTGGAATTTCAGCTTGTGTTGAAGCGGCCGTGGTCTTTCTCAATTTCCCACGCCACGCTCGGGCACGTGTGTTACAGCAAGTACCAGATGATGCCATCACGACTCTACATCTTCGTTCACTATCACAGCTAAGCAGCTGAATCAGTTTCAATTTATATCTTATTTCATTAAGTGACGTTGATAATTAATCATTAGTCAAGAATATTTCATTTATATGATTTAAGAAATCTAGCACAATTTGATAGTCTCATGAACTTTAAATGAGAATGATTTCTTGCTTAACCATCATATAATATTCTTGGTACTAACCCTTTAATGAACTAGTGACGAACCACACTCGTTCCTAGATATATATGAACTTCTAGAAATACCCTCCCAATGTTGATATTTGAGGCTATGACTTTAATAAATTAATAATACAGTCTATTCATTGTCTTTTAAGTGATTGTTAAATCAATTACCATACATACGCACTGGTTCTATAGTGTCAAATTTTATAATCACTTATATTTGCTTTCCCTCTTTTCTCAAAAGTGGGTGGTCCTTCGATTTATGTTAATTATCATTATTAAATAATTCAATATATGAGTCGAAGCCCCAGATACCCAATATTTTGGTCCTTTTCGAACCGGATCCATACTAATTAATCATTACTAAACCTGATAACATTATATTCCACAATTAGGAAATACATTCAGGTGTTAAATATTATTTATGGTAGTAGAATACTTGCCAAACACAATTAATACTCTTGTGTTCATTTAATTTCTTATACACATAATTTCTACTAGTGTATATAATATATAAAATTACAAAATCCAAAAACATTGCACTATTTTACACTATTGCACCACATTTATTGTAGTTATTATGCCAACCCAACAGAGGTAATAACATGTAATAACAACAGGTCAAACACTGATTCATCAGTAAGGCCCAAGAGCCCCATAAGTGCTCCTAAGGGACCTAAGAGTCCAATGAGTGCTCCCAAGAGCTCAATAATTGCTCCCCAGAGTACACCAAGTACTCACAAGAGACTAAATTTCAAGCAAATGCAAGCAGCAAAACCATCACAACCTGCAGTTACAGTTTCACCAAAACAGGTGACCCCTAAACGAACTGTAGGATGGGGATCATGTTTGTTTTACAATCAAAACCATTCTCTGTACAAATTTACTAATTATCCTAATAGAGACACACGAGTCAGACGACTCAAACAGTTACACAAATGTTCTAGGAGTTTCAAATCACATAATGTTAATAGCTGTGACACCCCCACTGAACACCTGCAATAGGTGTAGAAGGGGCAAGCATCATGCTGCACTGTGCAAATTTGTCAAGACAAATTGTGTTAATCCTAGAATAGGAAGTAGAGAATCTACACCAGTACAGTGCTGCAAGGTGCGAGATGTGTACAGCGTAATTTCACCAGCATCTCAAGTGGATGCAACCTTGCCCACTGCCTAATTTCAAGTTAAGAACAAAGAAGTCAAGATCACCACTCGTGGATTATTTGATCAAGGATCCCAGAGAACTTTCATTACTCAGAAAGCGGCAGAGGCACTCAATTTACAACCAATCAGACAGGTAAAATTAAACCTGTCAGGGTTCATGATAAATCGAGGACCCCAAGAATACTCAGTAGTTCAACCGCTTGTACGACTAGGTAGTCATGTCAAGGCTATCCAAGCCTTTGTTGTAGATCAAATACCTTTTGACCTAAATATTAAGGATCTGGGGTACACAGCCCACTTCCTGCAGGAACGTGAAATTAATTTGGCTGACAACAAGTTAACGTCTGACCGCCTTAACAATGTAAATGTACTAGTGGGAGCAGACTACTATTACCAGTTCATTACTGGACATGTTAAAGGATTGGGCATGAATATGCTCCAATCTGCAGGTGGCTACTTACTTACAGGTAAAGTTCTGAATATGAACAAGCCTAGGCCTGCCAACAATAATAAATTAGTCAGCAGTAAATCAATTCTCCAGCAACAAGCTGAATGAGAAACACAGCTGAGTAATAAACCCAGACTGAATGTAGTACAATTAGTATTCGCCGAGGTGTTCTATAGCTCTCAGTG